AATACCTGTTTTTCATTTTCCTTCATAAATTCATCCAAGTCATCACTAGTCATGTTTAATATTGAACACGCCAAGTGACGTGCATGCTTGGATGATGGTTTATCCAGCTCATCTTTCTTCAATTGTTCTTCAAACTGTGCAATTTCAAAGCATGTTCTTTCATTGTCAGCAATTAGTTCGTCAGTAAGAGTCTAAGAAATAAAATAAGTGTTTGTATTAATTTRTCTAGTTGGAAATGGTTGACTGTTTTGTGCATGAACTTYGTCTATTGCTTATAGGAGCTGTTTTTGTTTTGAATGTTTTTCAGGTACAGATGTCTAGGTTGCTATACCTTTATCAAAGCCTGRAATTCCTCAATTCTTGCTTCAGCTTTGCTTAATTTACCCCTTAATGCCTTCAGAGCAGTTTCACTTTTGCTKGCAAGACTTTGTAGYTGCTCAGTTGCAGCAGCTTCCATTTCACTGACAGCCTTGTCAGCTTGAGCATGAAGAGAGCGTGAGTCAGCCAGCAAATGGGACTACAAATGAATAAATAATTATTGTTCAGTAGTTTTTACAATTTACTTAAAATGTCTTCATTAAATTAAGGTTCAAATGCTTTCCTCTATTTACCTTTTTCTTGACCTCCTCCACAGACAGTAAGTACTGTTGACTAAGTTTAGCTTTCTCTTTTGCTTCATTTTCAAGTTGTCTTTTAAGACTATCCAACTGTGAGAAGGAAAAGTCTAATTATAATTGATGAATTACAGTGCAATTTTCAACAGAAACAAAATAGCACAGGTGTATTTCACCTGTAGTTTCTTCTGTGTGTCTCTCTCAGTCAGTCTTTTAATTCTTTCTTCAAAATCTTTCTGTAATGTGAATAWCAATAGGATATAATTGTTTACAATCAGGTGCAGTAAAAATGGTTGAGTTTGATATCTTACCACTGTATCATCAGATCTTTCTTCTGCATCTTTARCTTGTCTCAACTTGTTTTTCATTTCTTCAACAAATGTTTTCTTTTGAGCCAAGTCTTTTTCARCTCTAGTAAGACTAATAAAAACACCCAGGATAATCATCAATACCATGCTCCTACAAACCAACCATACTCCTAATAAGGGTAATATTTACCGTTCCTGTGAGTCAGAGAGTTTTTCTTTCAAATCGTTTTTCTCATTACGGTGAGTCTTGACAAGTGCATTAAGACGAGATAACTCACTGCTGGTAATCTGTTACAACAAAGAAACTAAAATAATATGAACCCAGGCTACATTGTAAGACAACAGTCATTTATATTGATCCATTACGTACTCGTAGCTTTTCTTCATATTTTCTTTTCATCATTTCAGCATCATTTTGGTCAGCATTTTCTTTGTCTGCTAATATTTCTTCTTTCTCTTTCAAGCACTTCTTTAAATCGTCTGTAAGCGTCTAAAGAGAGAAAGTGCATTGGTTCAAAAGTACCTTACAGAACATAAAGTGGGTTTCATAAAAACTTTGGATGTTATGGAGATGAGATGTTTGACATGTATTCACCTGTACAGTGTTCTTGCTGACTTGAAATCGCTGTAAAACATTATTCAATTCTGACTGGAGGTTCTCATTAGTTGTCTTTTCCTCATTCAGAGCTTTRACAGCTTTGTCCTTAGCACTACGAATAGCAGCCACCTGGTGAAGCAGTCATACAATCAATCATTTTCATGATAGTTTAACACTGYCTGGTCARTAATCATCAGATCCCATTCTAATATACTGTAGTCTTGTATTTTGGTTACCTGTTGTGTCAGGCTAAGAATCCTTTGCCTCATYCCGCTCCACTCTCCTTTTACCGGTGTCTTTTTTGTGGTTGTAGCAATCTTTTTRCCTCTAGGGGTTTGTGCAYTGGAAATCTTTTTTAAATTATCAACTTTTTCATCAAGTTGAACATTCTTAGCTCTTGCATCCACCTCAACCACACCAACTTCTAAGTCAGATTGATTAAAATCAACAAAGGAACTAAAATCAGCTGTGCGTGACATCTCTATTGTTTGTGTTCCTTGGCTCTCTTTTCGTGTTGGAGATAGGTCTTTCTTGTGCTGCTTGGAGGGGCTTAAGATTCTCTCAGCTATTTTCTTGAGTTGTAGGTCATACATATCAATATCTTTTGCCTACACAAGATACCAAATGAATTAAATTATAAATATGTGATCATACAACATTCAAATTCACAATGCCCCTTGATCTCCTATTTGCCCAAGCCTCGTAAAAATCAATCAAATCCCTAACCTGCTGTTTAATGAGTTCATTRTCTTTTGTCTTTACTTCAGCAAATTTAATTGGTGATATGTTCATCTCATTTTCTCCTAATGTTTCTTTTAGTCTTTTGCATTCTACAATTCGATCTTCTATTTCACAGGATGCTGAGTTCAACTGTTTTTCCAGATGGACAGCATTTCTCTTTAAGTTTGCGTTATCTTCAGCTAAGAGTCTAAATCAAAATCAAAATAAGGATAAAAATGGAACAATAATCTTATACAAACTTGATACACATTCAATACAAACTTGATACAAACTCAATACACATTCTATGCACATTCAATCCATCAGCAAAGAAAGTAAAACCAACCAATACATGATTTATACAATATCTAGTACTTGAAGTAGTTTCTTACTTCAATTCTTGTTTACAATGAACAATCTCCTCCTCCAGTTCTTGTATTCTACTTTTGCTYTCTTGCTCCTGCATCAATTGCATAAAATGGTTTCATCAAGAGTTAAAAACAACTACAACAGCTGTGTAATAATTCTATGATTTATGCTAAGCTATTATAATTACATAAAAACACTTTTACTAAGGGRCTTGATTCACTTACTGTTTTCCTCAGCAAAGATATCTCGTCTTTAAGCAGCTCAGACTTTTTAGACTCTCTGGCATAATCAATGGTCTTTTTCTTATCTTCTTCAAGTTGATTCAGTAGCCCTGGTAAAAATAAAATAAAGACTCAATAAGATGAGTACATAACAGTTATATACTGTTAGCTATGGATGCTTTATACTGACTAAGGAATAATATAGTACCACTGAGAGTAACTTGGTTTGTACCTTCTTTCTCCTCCTCTAGACACAGTCTTAGTTCCTGTATTGTTGTTAAGTCATTAGCATGTTCAACACRGAGAATATCCAGCTCCTCTAAGACATCATGCCTGTTGGAATAATAGACACTTATCATGCTGGAACAATTGAATGATTGACAATGCCATCATGATGTTGATGACAAGATTGCATTTAGGTGAAAACAGACAGTTTCTAATGTGTCTACATTGTACCTATCTTTGTTTAGCTTTTCGTATTCCCCACGATAGTATGTGAGCTCATTCCAAACACCATCACTGTTTTCATGACGTAAGGCACGCTCACTTGGGCGCCGTGGTGGTGTTCTCTCAACCCTGTCAATAACAAAGTAAGCTTACCAGGAAAAAACAATATTTCACACAGGAAACAGATAAAATAACAAAATAAGAAGAAGAAAGCCTTTCCACATTACAGTAAAATATCTCAGAGTCAAGAGAAACCATTAATTTTAGGAAACTGAAAACTTAACAATTTACTCACGGCTCATTCTCAAAMGTTTTGAGTTGGTTTTGGACAAGGCCATAATTTTCCTTTAATAACTGATAACGTTGTTGTCTTTGATTGTGKGCTYGCCTGACCTCAGTAAGTTCACTGTCCTAAAATAACAACAAACTTAAAACTAAGGACACAAAGTAGCCTCYGTTGCTTCAAAGGATACTTACCTTTAAACCAATGAGACTTTTTAAATCTTGAATTCTCTTTTCAAGTTGATTTATTTTTTGGTTTACTGGACTTCCTGGATGTAGTTTATCATGATAAGTCTGCATATAAATGGATCATATATCATTGTACAATTATAACAAATGAAACAATAATTGCCTGGGACATGTAGGGTCTACTAACCTCCACTAACAGATCTTTTTTAGCACTAACTTTACTTGTCAAGCTACTCTTGATAGTCTTTTCAAGAGATGAAATCCTCCTAGAAAGAGATACATACATGTACTGTAGATCATACAAACCTGGGTGGAATTAAATACTATTACATGTAGTTACCTTGATTTTTCTTGTAAAACATCTGAAAGGTCTTCTCGCTCTGCACTCAAGTTTTCTAGTTTTTCCTCCAGCTCTTTACAGTGTTTACAGGGCTAAACAAGCAGGCATCAATTTTTTATGACTCATGAAGTGGTCATGAGTCAGAACAAATCTAAGTTTGACTTCTACAATGTCAATAACACAAAGTGCTGAGCTCTCGTTCCCAAAACAGTGACTCACCTCTTCAAATCGTGCAYGTTTCTGTGGGCTAGAATGAGTTCTACCTATTTCTATAATCTTCTTCTGAAGTTCCTCTATTTGCTGATCTTTAGCCATGATGTCTTCAAAGTCACTTGCCTTGGACTGATAACAAAGCACAACAGCCTCATGAATATAGTACACAAGTATTAGTAATAGATATGTGATAATAATTCATCAATGTACTCTCTCTCTTAGAATGTCAGTACATACTTGTTTCAAAGCACCAATTTCATTTTGAAAATGATCTTCATTTCTATGATATTCTGTGCATTGATGCTGCAGATCTTCAACTTCCTACAGGAATTGGATGCCTTTTGATAAACTTTTCATGAAACATAACATACTTATTGTGTAAGGACTGCTTTACCTTGTGAAGTGATGTTATTTCTCTTTCATAAGACTGTTTATGATCTTCCATCACTAAAATTATGATTATAATGTTCAATAATTGACTTATCACAAGTTGATTATCTCATTAATAATCATAATCATCACCACTGTCATTGACATCATCATCATCGTTGTCGTTACCTCTATAAACTTGGTCCTGCATTCCCTGCAAATGTTCAATCATTTCTGTCTGTTCTCGTATCTTAACCAGAGCTTGATCATGTGAATTTCTGAAATCTATCATTCTTTCTCTGAAATGACAACACCATTATCAGTTACAATTATCAATATAATCATCACTACTTTCATGGAGGGCAATGATCAGAGATAATGGATATCATATATCAACTACAACAGTAGTAGTACTAGTAAACTGCATATTATATTTAAAGTCATTATTTCTATCATCACCTGTCAATCATTGCAATGATGATAGCTGTCAATCATTATTATCACAATATATTCTGTCAATTATAATTCATCATACACACCTCAGTGCAATAACTTCTTTATCTTTATCTTGCAAATGATTTTCTCGTATTCTTAAAGTGGTTACTGCTTCATCATACTAAACACATTATGATGTTTTTAAACAGTGAGAAGGTAAAATTGACACAATTGTCTAGCAATTTTCTAGCTCAGCAAGCATTCTTAATATTAGAAAAAAATTTGATTTTAGGCTACCTGTGTTCGTAATGTGGGAGCTTTTACACAGGAAGCCCAGAATAGTATAATATCCCAAAAATCCAAAGATATAATTAAAATGACATGAGCTTTCATTCACCTGTTTTTCACAGCTCTCACTATTTGACTTCAGATTTTGCAATGTTTTCTCCATTTCCTTCACAAAACAATGTAAATTATATATMAAAAATACATATTGATCAAACAGCCATTTTTTCCARGAAAACTAGTCYTTGSTTTAGATCTGTTTACCTGGATTTGCTCCTTTAAATTGGCATTTGTTTTCATGGCTTCCCCAAGAGAGGTTCTATCCTCATTGAGCTTCTCTACTTCATCTTCTAAATACTTGATTTTTGACTTGAGGCCTGAGAAATATTGTTAGTCTTACTATTAAACTGACAGGTTAATGTTTTGTCCAGCTATATCACATTACCATTCTTTTCACTATCAATTTGTTCAAGGTTGTCCTTAAGTTCCTTGTCCTTTGCTTCTTTCTCTTCCTGGTAAGCTTTTACCTAGTTATAATGGAAGTTACAATATCATTCATTCTTTCCTAGATTTTTATTGAATAATCATCCCATAGAAGAAATTGACATATGGCCATAGTAGCACTTGACAGACCTAACACTCAGCCAGCCTTGTTTAGATTTTAAACATCCTACTGTCCCACAATCCTCAAAAAATAGTACTGTCTACATCACACCAAGCATACCAGTTGYGAAAGATATTGATTCTTTTCTTCAATTTCTCTTGTCCTTTCCTCCATTTCTTTCATTTTACTGGACAGCTCATTCTCATGCTCATCTAGTTTTTGTTTTAATTCATCATTCTCTATCAACAAATCATGAAGCCTGTTGAAAATAATAACATGTGACTCTACAAGAAAACAACTTACAAGGATATTGATCATAAGAACATCATCAAGTGAACCCACCTTTCTTTGTTCATTTTCATCTCCTCTTTGTCAGCATTTAAAGCCTACAAAAAAGGTCAATAACTTATAATATACTCCATGCATTAAAACATGCGTGTGCATTATAATCTATTATAAAATATATCATATTAATTAATTATTAATTAGTTATTAATAAATTATATATAATCAACAACTACAAACCAATAATATTTGTCTAGCTATCAATCTGATATACCTCGCGCATTTCCACAATCTTTTCATCTTTCAAGCGGAGAATTTCTAAAATCTTCAGATCTTTCCTTTCTGCTTTTTCCTTTTCTCTAATAAAGATATTAATCGATAAAGTTGTCAGATTTTCAAATCTCAGTTATCATATTAAGAGACTCTTATTCGTCGTTGTCTAGTTACCKTGATACTACCATGCTGATGACTGATGCCATGTCAGGTTTTTCAGTTTGTAGCCTTTTCCACAAGTTCCAAACAAAGTCTTTGTCAGCCTTTAGATCAAGAATTTCATTACAGTATTTATAACTAGTAYATAATCTTAATGTAAATGAAAAAATAGTGTGCAAAATAAATAAATAAATAAATGGTGATTACAAGCAGTGTCTATGTCATGTTGTATTGGCATGACACCTTGAGTTATGTAAGACTGTTTTTACATTACACATGTATGTGAATTGTTGCATGAAACATCTTTTACACTATAGAATAGWGCTGTGTAAATATAGCTCTAATGCTAGACACTTGTTGCTTATGATCTGTTTCAAACTTCTCAAAATATGATCTGAATCCCTCAAGATGTTAGAGATGACACATGCATGACAAGTCAGCTTAAATCAGCCTCATGAAATCTGATCTAGAACCAAACTTTGAAATGTTTCAAACTCTGAGGCTGTGAGTCAGTATTCAAGCTTCATATACTAACTTTGCACTGAAGAAGCTCTTCCTCTAGTGTGTGTTTTTGTGAAGCAAGGTGCTTGATTTCAGAAGCCACTGTACATACAAACAAATTAACATAAGCTTAAGTCTTAAGTTAAATTATCAAGACATTTTCTCATAAAAATATTTTTTTTTATTTCAAAAATCTTAACCTGATAAAATACTTACACCCTCGAGCTGCTTCCTTGRATGGAAGTCCCTCCATCACTGACAATATTGTAGTAAAGATTACGTTTGCCCTGCCGTAAAATTMTTTATATAAACAGACATGTCGACAACACTTYACATCAAAACTTTGATTTCACAAGGTAAAGTTCGCGTCTCTTTCCACTTCCTTTTGTTCTAAGTATCGCTTGTTTGGTTTATAGACATTTTCTTTGAATGTTATCCCTATCCTGTGGTCAAATTGAATCTAAAACAACAACAACTCGGATAGAAAACATCTGTTATGGAATCCGCCATATTTGAAAACGGCGCGCCTGCAATAGTAATAGCCGCTGACACAATTTTTCTTACYACACAGGTAGCCCATGCGTTTCAGAGGTGCTGACAAAAAAAAAGCGGGTTTTATTTCCTAATTCTGCTTCCTTCACAGTTTGAAACACCTCCATATAATCGTTTTCGAAAGTGCTTTAACACCTCTAGCTTGCCTTATTTCGAAAGAAAAAATGCACCAAAATTTTMAGTTTTGTAACAATATTTTTGATTTACACATTTCAATTCAGTCATGTACTTTTATTGATACTTTGTTACTTCAATTTTTATTTCATGGTTTAGTTATTATTACAAGTCAATGACAATTAATATGATTACATGGAAGTTAATTTTAAGAATAACAATCACCATATCTATTCATCTGGTGATACAACTAAAATATATATTATGATGTAAAGTACATAATTTATGAACAAAACTGTTATTATTATAGTACTTTTATACAGTGGCACACCCATTGACCACGAGCTATTCTATAACCATTTACMAAACAATATATGCAGTTGAACTACTCCATAGTGCTTTACACTTGAGAGTATATGCCAAAATAGCCTTCAAGATTAACTGGTTAAGAAAAGTAAAAATTTTATCATTTATTTATGTCAAACTCTTCAGCTAGTTTTAGAAACCAGCATCATCACTCCATGCCACATTATTTACAAGTCTCAACTCCACACTGTAATATTGTTGCTCCACACTRTAATATTGGTGGATTGTGTTTACCTGGTATGTATTAATATTTATCAAATAGCTGAAAATATATGTACTTCAAGTTCCCAAATAAGCCTGGGTGTTTTAATCAAACTACTGTATTACTGTATTCTTACATGTATATTTAATTTTGATATTCATTGTTTAATGACCTGAAAACAAAGCAGTAGGAAAATTATCCCCCCCCCCCCCCCCCCCCCATTGAAGCAACATGTGAAAACTAAATGCCCCTCCCCTCCCCAGTGTGTAACATTTCTTTATACCCTATTTTCTCTATGTGTGATAGTCTAGGTGTATCTGTCAGCTTGAAGTTTCATGAATTCTRTGAAGATGATCTGCTGCTCTTTGAGATATGTTGAGAGCTGCATGAATAGGTAGAAGGCCACTTTCTTTCATCAAAGACAATCCACAGATACCAAAGTAAGAATGTAATGCATCTGAGTAATAAAGAATAATACATACAATTATATATATACAATTGATTGTACACAAGAATAAATTGAAATCAAACCAACTTAAGTGAATCTCATCATTTCTGAAATTGTAGAAATAACCATGGCAGACAATGTCAAAAAAGATATAAACAACAGATTGACCATGCAGAACAAAGTGGACAAACTTACCAGGGTGATTCCCAGGCCATTTGGAGAATCCKCCAGTGACGTTAGCTTGTGTTTGCATGAGATAATCACGATTAGCCGCAAAATCAATCATGTCAAAGGAATTTAGAATCTAAAAAAAAAAACATTGTATTTATTTTTTTGTAATTATTAGAAAAACATCCTCAAGATACAATACAGTACCTTAAGAGATGCTCCTACCCAGAATGCATAGCAAGTATCAACAGGTTTATTTGGTCGCCCTTGGAAACCGGATTTCTGCCTAAATAAACACCACCTTTTTATCTTGTTTAAATCATCCTTTGAGAACTCGGTTTGTAGGCGGCCCATTAGATATAGTGAGGCTATTGCACAGAATGTTGAGCCACCTGAGTTAGAAGGAAGAAAATTTGTAATCAGGATAATACGACAATGTACATGTACAAAGATTACAGGATAAAATGACAATGATTTCATTGYTTATTGCAATTCACCTACCATGAGATTCTAAATTAGGACCTTGAGCAATTCCAAAATCATAAGACTGCAGAGGTAAAACAAGAAATAATCTTGAGATGCATGGAATCAAATAATTCTAGCAAGAGGAGCAATGAAGACAGAGAGATATAAAGAGTACCTGACTGTTGGTAATGTAACCTACTGCTTTCTCTACATTGACCCCACTCCAGTCATTGAGTATGTAACTAATACACGACGCACAGTATATAAAACGCATATCATTTTCACTTCCTCCATAAGTAGGACAAAAGCTGAAACAAGARTCCATATATCATAACTCAGAAAACCTTTGAGACACAAATATGGACACCAGGGCTGGATATGGATTCACTGTATGGGAAATATTGGACTCTCAGCATGACTGTATGACCCTCCCACTCAGTCTACAAGTAAACATTAATTTTAGTCTTTACTCTGACAAAGGATTAACGTCCGAAACAATAGTAAGTTATTTCACCTACTTTTTAACAGTGTTAAATTATCTTTTTATATAACTGTTTCTTTAGAGACACTGATGCAGCTTACACTAGTTTAACACTAGTTCCCACCATTATTTATTATGACTCAGCTAGTGTACATTGATGGATTTGAACACAAAAGTGACAAAGTTATTGCAGGCAGAACAAAGAAAAAGGAAAGAGCAGAATGCTAATAACTATGAATAATGAATGRTATACTGTACCTCCCATCATCCAGTTGTAAATGACTGAGTCCTTCTACTATAGCTTTCTTGTTGACGCGTGACAARTCATCTCCAAGGATAAGAAGCATTGCTAAAGCTGTATATGTCATGGCTATATGACCACATTCATATTCACAAACACTCTCMGGTTCCTAGAAATAGTACCACACTATACTGTGAACAATATTTGTATACACCAGACATTCTTTAAAAAAATCAAGCTATCTTTTCGTTTTTTTACACAAAATGTAAATTATGTAGTTTACCTTCAAATTTGATCCTGTCATTGGCGAACCTCTGAAACCACATTTTGACTTGTTTCTTCCTGAATATTTGAATCCAGTTTTTATTATTTTTCAAAATCCACCAAATTTTACATAAATTCATATATTTTTTTTTTCTTACCATCTTTTGTAGGCAAAACCTGATTGGTGTATATCCAATTAATGATATCTTGTTTGTCATGTCCAATAACATCCAATGCATTGAGAACATCAAGTGCCGATAAGGCAAAAAATGCCACAGTCACTCTGTAGAAAACAGCAGTTTATGTAAGATAAAATGAATCAAAAAGGGAATACAGCACAGCTCGAATGTACACACATTTTTGTACACAATAAGAAGCTTTGTGTACCAACACAATATTGACAACACAAATGTGGACTTTTAAAAGCTTTATGTGCATTTTCAACACATGATTTAAAACATATTTTTCAAGCAATAATGCCCGCCTACCTGCTTGTGTCAAGAGAAGCATACTCTGAAGGCAAAACAGCTAAACATCTTTGAAAAAACTTGATATGTTTCTCTCGTAAAAAATCATCTCTACATTTCGACACAGTGTCACCTGAACYTTTATCCATGGCAGGAAATTAGCTTGATTACAACGGAATAGTTTATTCTGGACAAAACAATCAGAAAGTCAATCTTAATGAGTGTACAAATCTCGTGTACGCCCAGTGTGAAGTTTGTTTTGGGTGGTGCACTTCACAGTACTGTCAAACAAATACAATTTCGATACTCTATTTCAATAGTATGAATACCGTACTTTTTAGATGACGATTTAGTACATACCTGTTATCTTCAGTCTTCAGATTGGAAAAAAGCAGAGATGAAATCTTTGTTTTATCTCCTCAAAATATTACCCCGTTCTAAATCTCTCTCTGTCCGCCATTTTGATTGTTCTGSTAGTGGATTGTGGGATAGCTGAGCCCGCGCTWCRAAAGGAAGATGTTGTTATAGAAACATCAACATATTGTTCGATCGAATGGCAAAGTCTTGCTTCTTTCTTGTGTCTCTTCGTTGTTTTCAATTCTTTTAGCTTAAACAATTTAGATAATGGGTTCWAGTCCTTCAAAGAATGAAGTTGTTCACATAAGGATCCCATCAGCCAAACAACGAAATAATTCAAGGTAAACGTTATGGCCTTGAAACCATGACCAAATCAGAATGATCATTCTAGCTCTTGCATCTGTCATCGTAAATTATAGTACAGTGTTATCCGTATTCTTTTTAGTGGTAATGTCAAGAAGATTCCCAATTCTAAGGAAAATACCATAGTTACAGATTACATTGGCCCATCACAGGAAGAGGTAATTATAGTAGACCAATATTCGAAGCTCATTGTGAGACTTTGACACATCCTTTCTGTTATTTTCYTTCGTAGGTCGAACAACTTAAAAARGAACTGGATAATTTAAAAACAGAACTCAGAATTCAGAAAGAAAATTGTTCACAAGCAGAAGATATGTCATTCTCCTTTCAGACTCAGGTAACGTTCATTGATTACATTTCAGACCATTTCAACCAAATGTTCACTGACAGTGCAGCTTGTTTTAGCAGCTTATTTTAAAGTGTTTTGATGTTCTTTTTAGCTTGATGAAAGAGAAAGAGAGATATTACTATTAAGAGAAGAAGTATTAAGCTTTCAAAGTAAAACAATGACTGMAGATAAAGTATTGGAGGAAGAAATGCCAGTTGAAGAAAACTTTGACAGAACAGTTCAGGCAAAAGACCATGTAAGTWAAGACATGTTACTCCATGTTATAGTTCCCAGTGCCATCATGAAAGTTAGTAGTGTCTTTGCTATGGAAGCTATGTCTAAAGTAAAATTCCATTATGTATATAATGCGAGTGACCTTTGTGTTTTATGATTATTGGCATCTAACTTGTGGTTCATCTTTGTGGTTTAGTATATCAATACTTTGGAAGATGAACTAAAGAACATAAGGCAAAAAACAAGCACACAGGTAATCTTGATGTTCAAAATATGAACATTCCTTTAATCCTTATATTATTGCAATTATTTATCAATGAACATAAATATCCACAGAATGAAAGATATCAAAAAAAGATGAAGAAACTCAAAGCTGTGTTGTCAAAGTCTCRACAAGATTCTTCCCTCAAATTATTTGAACTCAAAGATGAAAATACTAAATTAACAGAAGAAAATACAAAGTTACAAGGTATTGTGATGATTAGACTGACGCTCCCCTCCCTAGTTAGGTTTATTGTATGTTTATAGAGTAGTACGAAGTGTAATGCACTGAATGTGAAGAGTCACCTAAAGTACAAATAAAGCAAATTCTAGAGGAACAGTTTGTATTCCTGTCCACCATTCAATGGAGGGGGGAGCAGGGCTCTTTGCATCACCAAATGACTGCCTACACATTTTAATGGCACTTATTATGGGAAATACATACATTAACACATGCAAGTCTGTGTAGCAGTGCGGAAGATTTCACTAAGTTTACTAAACTGTATTTATTGACACTTTTTCTTACAGAACGATTGGAGAGATTAAGCATGGATTCAGRAGAGTTCAGTCGACAGAGCAGTGCAACAAGTACGCGCACAATTCACAAAGTACTTGARAAAACTGATACTGATGATGATCACCATGACGACCCTCGTATGAAATTAATCCTTGAACTTTCACAACAAGTTGCAACTCTGGAYGCTGAAAACTCAAAATTAAAACAAGAACTKAAACATTGCAAAAAGATTKCAGAAAARGTTGAAAAAGTTCGAATTCAAAAGAAGAAAAATGGTGGGAGAGTTTCAGAAGTTGTTGTTGTTGAWAAAAGTGCATCKACATGGAATACTATTGAGAGCAGAAGCTTCTCTCATTTAGAAATAGGAGAACAAGCATAGAAAATGTTAAAAAAGTATTTTTTTGAATTTATTGTGAAACTGTAAAGAGGTTATTTTATTAGAGATTAATACAAAAATTAAAATTTCATAKTATAAAATATATAAGTGTCATACATTATTATTTCATGATGTGCAATCATACATTCCCAGT